CCGGCTACTGAACGGACTTCGTCCTGACCGCCTGCAGAGAGCATATTCTCTAAAAATGGCTACTATATTAGCATGCACATTTTCATTGATTTTCAATGCCTTTTGAAATTGAAATATATTTTATAGAAAACATGCACACTATCTTCATTCTTGTACTGATTTGGTTTGTAATTACGCCTTCTTTCAATTTTATACTTAAAGAAAGGTTATCCTACGGTTTAAAATAAGTTTCTCAATTGCCAAATAAAATAAATCCTATATATCTTTTCTAAGGAAAAGTACATATTCTCCTACGGTATGAGGAAGCAGTCGCATAGTTCTTATAATATTTTGCAATAGATGTAGGTCATGCTGTATACTTTATAGACAACATTAATAAATAGATAGATAAGATGTCTTATGAATGGAAATTTTACGGTCGCAAAAATCTCATAATTAGAAACTTTGGAAAAAACGAAAAAAGGCCCCTTCTTCAGATATAATATTGTAAAGAATTCGGAATTTGCTACCAAGAGAATACAAGAAATAATATTCTTGTACATGTTTTCTATGAAATATATTTGAATTTTTAAGGGCATTGAAAATCAATGGGAAAATGCTAACTACATTTGTAACCATTTTCTACGAAATATACTTATTGCAGGCGGTCAAAACGAAATGCGTTCAGGAACCGGCATCCTGACGTGATTGAAATATATTGAGTTTAAGCTTTACCATAATCAGTATAAGAATCCTACTTTAAAAAAATGTTTCGAATCAAAAACATACTTCCAGAGTTCGGTTGATTGTACTTTTGTGCTTGTTACGGCTGTGGTCATACCTGATCTAGCCGGGTTTCGGTTGATGTTCCATGAGATATGGAATTTACTGCATCACATTTTCCGACGGAAGGAAAGTAAGGTGGGCAGTTTGACCGTCATTACCGACTATGTCCAAGTGTGGCTCAAAGCGGGGTGGGCACAGAGACTGTGATTTACATGTAACCAAAATTAGAGTCGTCGTAGGCTTGCAAAGGGCCTACCGCACTATTCCTTCCCTTACCCACCTGAGCCGGATGCCAAGACAGTCAGGAAGACCAGAAGCAGATGCATTAGCTCACAAACCTACAGTTGCCGGTATGGATTATAAGAAAGCAGGGTCTGTGAATTACCTTGGATGAATCTCCAGAGAGCTGGGAAAGCATAAGGGCTGCCTGCGTTCACTGTCAAGTACTTAGTCAAACTGCGGCTCTCGGAGACTGGGAAGCTTCAAAGCCATAAGGGGG